AACGGTGAAGACAGAGATGATGACAGAGTGAGATCACATCTAAAAATGCAACTCTTTTTCTCTGTTGAGGCCTTCTGCACACTACACCGGGCTTTTCACACCCAAAACTGAGCTTTTCAAAAAGGGCCGTCAGAATCTAAAAAGACTGGCTCTGCGTTTTAGTGAAGATGGGGAAAACAATAACATACAGTTCGTCTCCTAAGACACATTCAGAAGCATGGAAGCACAAGTGCACTACATTTTCTGATGTAGCCGTCTTGCTGTGTGATCTAGTTAGAAGGAAACTCGCCTTTGACAGGAAAGTGTCTCTTGATCATCTCTTCTTGGGTGAGAACATACGCTGTCAGTCCTCTTCTCTGTGTCCCAAACCTGGTGATTACTGGGTGACTCCTCAGTGCTGCAGCAGTGTACAACACACACACACACACACACACACACACACACACACACACACACACACACACACACAGAGTTAAGAATAAGAGCAAAAACAATGAGAGAAAACCCACAGCTACAGCTGGGAGATAAAAGAATTTCTGACAAAATGTAATAGTAATAATCTTAAAATACTTCAAATGCAACATTTAACTGTAATGCAGCTTTTTAGGCAATGAGTAAATGTACTAATGTACTACACTTTGCCACTGCTTCCAGAAAATCAGGAGGATCAAGAGATGACAAAGTCGTTTAGGCTTTATCAGGATTTCATGACAAAGAAATCAGAGAGTGTAACTAGCCTCATATTGTACTGACACTACACTCCCATCATAATCTGCACACACAGCTCTCACCACTGTGCAATTCACTGCTTTCCTTGTGTATCTGGGAAAGTGAGAGATGGTCCAGTTTGGGAACTTCACTGGTAAAGATTGCAGACACCATATTATCAGATGATGGAGTGAAGGTAACTCTCTGTAACAGTCAAATGAAGATGGACATAGATTCAAATCCAAAACACTGACACAAATTTCTTTAATAAAAAAAATGCATTTTAGTACATTTACATCCGCTCTGGTAACTTACAGTGGTGTAGTTGGTCCTGAGGTGTTGCAGGGTGAGGTAGTGTTTGTAAAAGTGATTCTGGGTCAAGCCCTCCACGATCACAATGTTCACACCTTTAATTTTCCTCTGATGGTGAAGACGACACCAACTAGCAGGGAGAAAGGAGGGCGAGAGCACAATATATAAATGGGTGTAGTTTGCAAGACCAGAGACTTCAATTAGATGTTTTAGATTATTACTGGGGTACAGGGACACAGTCTAAGTACATTACAGGGAGTTGTTTGATGAGAGCTGATCTAAGATTTTATACATTTTACTACAAAAGTCATTACCTGGGCTGTTTGATGCCACCTGTTTTCCCCAGAGCAGCATAATGCAGCAGCTCTGTCAGCTCACTCAGTGTAATTGGTTGTTGGAGGTGGTCGAGCAGCACAGAAATCCTCGGTGAGCGGGGAAGACGTGCACACTCCTCTGCCTCCCCTCCTCCTTGCTCTGTTTTTAATCTCTTGGCCTTCTTATGTTCTGTGGGATCAAAGCTCCTTTTCTTCTTTCTGTTGCATGTTGCTGTGGACAACGAAGGCTCCATGTTCAAGCTGATGTTTCTACTGGAAGACAGGAACAAATGTTTGAAATATGCACTGGCGGTAAAATACAAACTGTATGATTGGGGCACAGCTTTATTTATATCTAAGTTTTACATGTTCCTCTTTAAATTTCCATTGTTTTTCGCTGCCTACAAAGCTTGAACAGTGGAGCCCTGAGTGTAGGCTGTGTACTGGATCCTTTGTCAGAGTCTTTGTGTTGCTTACTTATTCTTTGACCAGATATTGAAATCATCATTTGTGACTGTGTTTTAAACTCTGGTTGCTTTGAGCTAAAACAAAATAAACAAAGAAAAAATTTTCAGAAAAAGTAGGTGGGGTTTTTAATACTTTCATTAACAATAATATCAATATACTCTATACCTAGTCATTCTGCAGGTCAACTACAGTAGAATCATCTTAATGTTTTTGTATAGGTACTAACACTCATGCAGCACATCAGAACTAGTATAATACATATAAAAAAAACACTGTCCTAAAAGCAACTTCCCTCTGCCAGGTGTAACTATACAAGTAGCAGTGAAGGTAAGAAAACGTCAGGTTACAACAATATGCTACAAATTTAAAAACAGTTACAGCAGGGTATCTGCAGTGTTCACATACCACATAACCTGCAATTTATTGTATTTTTCAGAGTAATAAGGATCAGATAGTGATAGGAAAACAATAAGTCCTACCATTATTTAAGAAGAACGTGGATTTGTTGACAATATCATATTTCTGTCATTACTTCCTAGTTGTATATACAATAACAATCATTCAAAGTAATACACAGTTATTAATCAAGTGATGGAACCTGGACCCAGATATATGGCATAAAATTAACTAACAAATCCACTAATCAAAAATAAAATTATTTGAATTATAGAATTTACATTTACATATGATTAGACAATGATCTGCACAGGTACTGTAACAGCAGTGTGAAATAAGTGTGTAACATCCCCAGGCAACCACATGCAAAAAGTAGGGCAGGCAAGACTCAGTCTTTAAGATTTTCTAAGACCTTTTTAATACTTTTCAAGACCTGCAGATTACATGCCGGTGATCTGGTTTAACATTCAGGGAATATGAACTTTTACAGATGTGTAAAGGCACATAACGTCCCTATAACGATACCCCTGTCAATTATGTTCAGTAGATGAACTGTTTTCCTGTGGTCAGTTTGGTGGTTCTTTATTAACGTTAGAATAATACACAGCAAGAACTACAGACCAACGTACCTAACACTTAATTATTTACAATTTATAGGTTTCCCGTACGAATGAGAACAGTAAGGGGAATAAAAATGTGTAAATACCCGTGTTAGGTTCCACATTCACATCTTTCACCACTGCAAAAGACTAAAAACACATGGCTAAATGTGCAAAGTCAAAGAAAAATACTAGCACTGCTTCCGGTTTGTAACTTTAGATATAAGCTCCACTAGTCACATTTGTCATGTCTTTCAGTCGTTACATGCTAATTGCGTTGCTTTTATTGTTTGACCTGATAAAATTAAGCTTCACAGATCAAACTGAGACATGGTCAACATATGTTTTCATGCGTTGTCCGTGTTAATAATGTATTTAAGTGATCTTGTTTTGATAAGAAACGTGAAACAGGAAGTGCAGTTTGCTCAATTTCGATATCGACGATTTGATTCTACAGTCGATTTTGCTGCCTTGTAGCCCAAATTAATCGAGCGTAGGGTAATAGAACGGATGGGTGTTCACAAAAGGAGCGCGATGTCTGCTTCGTTTTGAAATTTAACGTTACTGTGTAGTTAACCCATTTGTGTCATATTGGTAACAAAAATCATATTGGTGCTCCGAACCTAGGTCCCAGCGATGACTACAAAGAAACTTGCCAAGTGAGTAGCTAATTGATAAATAATCAGCTATTTTACTGCTAAACAGCTAACGCAAGTAACAAGCAGCACAGACAAAAGCATGCGTATTGCTTTAGTGCCATACCCTCGAATAGCTTATGTTAAACATTTGGATAAAGTTGAGTGTTTGCATATTGTTTTAAATGTTAGACAGTTTGAAACCGTACTCGTGCCCTTGATATTTTGTTCTGAAAGTAGCAGTAAATAATACGTTAGCTTACTGTGGCTTAGATATGGAAAAATGGCATGGAATGGCAGATGTTTGGTTTATTGCTGTAGCTTTTGTCTTCATTCTGTCCCTGCTCAGAGAATTGGGATTGTTGAGGCAGCGGAGTCAGTCCGATGGGTCTAAGAAATCAGTTGTATCAAGTAAGTACGAGTATCTGAACTGAATGTGTTTGTAATGTTTAAAAATGATACCCATGTCAATACAGTTTCACACCCTGATTATAGTGTTGCGACTACACAATACTGTTTCCTTTCAGACCAAATATTTTCATACCTGATCGTGATTGACTTTGAGTCCACGTGCTGGAGAGAGAGAAACAACTATAGCCAGGAGATTAGTAAGTAGCCCAGATTTTTTATTTTTAATGTGTTCTTTTTCATCCTTATTGCTGATAACTTGTCTCTCTTTCTTTTCCTCCTTCAATATAGTTGAGTTCCCTGCTGTTCTGTTGAACACTTCCACAGGGAAGATTGAGTCTGAGTTTCACACATATGTTCAACCCCAGGAGCACCCCGTTCTCTCCAAGTTCTGCACTGAGCTGACTGGGATTACACAGGTGTGTGCACATATACTAGAAGGACCACTGCACTTTCTAGTTTTGTTTACTTGTGTGTGTGTGTGTGTATGTGTGTGTGTATATATATATATATATGTGTGTGCAAGTGGAGTCTGGGATCCCCCTGCAGATCTGTCTTTCTCGGTTTAGTCGCTGGTTGCAAAAACTGCAACTCGAGATGGGTTTGGTCTTGCCCAGCAGACAACAAAGATGTTCTGCACCTTCACCTTCTCAGAAATTGTGCACCTTCCTCACATGGTCAGGTAAAAATCAAACTGCAGTTCTGTTTGGTTGGTGTTACCATACATGACGTGTCAAACTCGAGGCCCGTGGGCCACATCCGGCCCGCGAGATCATTTTATATATCTTTTTTTTTTTATGACCCGGCGATATGAAGTGCCGATAACACATAAACTACAAATCCCATAATGCAGCGCAACAGCTGCCTTACCGAACGATAGGCTACCTGCGATCATTCCTGCATCAATTACATCAGATCAATCAAGCGTCTGTTCATGTATACAACTCTAATTTCAAGTCAAAGCTAACCCCTAACAATGGCCAAGAGAAAAGTTGATTCTGAAAACAGAGCCTTTCAAAACCGGTGGGAGGCTGAATATATGTTTACTGACATTGCCGGTAAACCCGTGTGTCTTATTTGTGGAGCTAATGTGGCTGTAATTAAGGAATATAACCTAAGACGGCACTACGAGACAAAACATTAGGACAAGCTGAAAAACGTGAATGCAAAGCAGAAGCTCCAGAAGGTAGAGGAGTTGAAGAGGAATCTGACATCACAGCAGACGTTTTCACCAAAGTGAAATCACACAGTGAAGCTGCTGTGAAAGAAGTTTTATTGTGGCAGAGGAGAAAATCAGCCCTGGACATTTACCGAGGGAGAGTTTCTGAAGAGCTGCATAATGAAAGTGTGCGACGTCTTGTGTCCAGACAAAAAGCAGGCTTTGTTTGTAAGCCTTAGCAGAAATACGGTTGCTGATTTTAAGTTCAAGTTCATTTATTTTGGAATTATATTGTATGCTGTCTGTTTCGATTCATATCTATAAAGGCTTAGTTTTAGTCTGTTCAACAAATTTTTATCCTGTTTGGTCTGCGCGTTGAGTTTTGGCCCCCTGTGCGATTGAGTTTGACATCCCTGCCATACATAATGGCAATAAAGTAAGCATCCTCGCTATTGGCCATGGCCTCAGTTAAAGAGGTTCTGTCTTGTGTTGGAGAAACCATCACTCAAAATGTAAACTAAAATGACAACTTTATCTGGAGACATTTTTAATGGAATACATGTCCTATGCTATGAAATACTTCATTACAAGAAAAGCATGAGATTTATTTTCACTTTATTGCTCTTTTAAATGAGAAATTCAGTTACATTGTCATTGTTAATGTGGCACCATCTATGCTGCGTATCAGACTGGGATCTTGGAGTTTGTTTGCAGTACGAATGTAAACGCAAGCAGCTGCATAAACCTGATGTTCTCAACAGCTGGATAGACCTGAGAAGCACATACAGGGTAAGTGGACACTTGCTTGCTTTCTCTCTCTGCCTTCTGTTTCCATTATCTTTACAATTTATTACATCTTGTAATAATGAAAAAGTCAGAGACCAAACTACGTATTTATTCTGACAACATTACAGAAATTAGGATGTATTCAGTTTACTATTAAATTAAGCAGGGAAAAGCAGAACATTTTTACACATAAAAACTGTAACAATTGTACTTAAGCAAATTTTCTTTAAGAATATTTTCTGCCAGTTGACTAATCCGTTTGACAAAGTCCTAATCATGTTGTATTTAATCTTTTTTTGCAGCTGTTTTACAACAGAAAACCCAAAGGCCTGAATGGGGCTCTACAAGATCTAGGACTACAGTTTTCAGGGAGAGAACATTCTGGTACAAGATGAAGTAAAGCTTTTTTGGTCCCAGAATAATTTATACATAGTAAATAGACATAATCTAAGCCTGTGCATTTTGGTTTTTCCTCTTTGCTCAGGCTTGGATGACTCCCGAAATACAGCTGAGCTGGCAGCAAAGATGATGAGGGATGGGTGTGTAATGAAGATCACAAGGAGCCTGGAGGGGGTGAGTGGCCGTTCAGTGATGCATCCCAGCTCCTAAATCCCCGACCGTTTTCTGTCTCCCCAAGCAAAATCTGCTATGAATGAGGCCTTTGTGGAGGATGTTTGGTCCAGAGAAATTTTACATTTGTTATGAAGCTTTATATAAATAAACAAATATAAAAGTGGACTGCTCAAGTCTTTAACAGTGATCTTCATGCCTTTTATGTGGTCTGAGTTCTTGATGCAATGTGTAACGAAACATGGCGCCCACCGAGGCAGACGCGTTTGCACGTTCCACTCTCGAATGCCGGCTTTTTCTTCGTTTTCTTCTTTTTTGTGTGTTTTTTACTTTTTCTGCAGTGCACAAATGTCATGCACTGCTAACATACAACAGACTGGCATTGCTGGATATCGCCAACTCACAAAGCCACTGGGAATTTACTGATTTCATACCACCGGCGCTGCAACTCATTGTCCGCTCCCGCAACAACAACGACAACCACCATCACCCTCAGGGAGTCCCCGGAGCACCAGGCACAAGCGAGCAGGCTGAAATCAGGAGAGCGACCCGAAGACGGAGACGCAAGCAAGGCAAGCCGGGGGGACTCCATGCTAGACTAAAAGTTCGCACTGCTCGACCGCCATTACCCAGCCTCTTCCTAGCTAACGTACAGTCTCTGGAAAACAAACTGAATGAGCTAAGGGCTAGGATTACAGCACAACGGGAAATCAAAGAATGCTGTGCTCTAATTCTCACGAGACTTGGCTTTCTGACAGAGTCCCAGACTCCGCGATTCAGCTAGAGACTCGCTCAGTATATCGAGGAGACCACACTGCTGCTTCAGGGAAAGTAAAAGGAGGTGGTGTGTGTGTGTGTTTATCATTAACTCATGGTGTGGAGATGTACGGATTGTTTATAAGCACTGTTCGCCAGACGTAGAGATTTCATTGCTGAAATGCCAGCCCTACTATCTAACCAGAGCATAGTGCTGTGTTTCTGGCTGCTGTGTATGTTAGCCCAAGAGCTAATCCCTCTGTGGCTCTCAGCAAACTCTATGATGTCATCAACGTGCTAGAGACAGCTCACCCTGATGCTGTATTTATCGCTGCAGGTGACTTTAACCAGTGCAATTTACGGACTGTACTTCCCAGCAGGTGAACATAGTATGCCTACTGGCCCAACAGGGCCACCTCGGACACCATCGCGGCTGCCCTCCACTATTCCCTTTCTCACCTGGAAAATGGAGACATCCTACATCAGGATACTCTTCACTGACAACAGCTCCACCTTCAACACAGTTGTCCCCCACAAACTCACCCACAAACTGTCCAAACTGGGTCTGCACCCCACCCTCTGTGACTGGCTCTGGGACTTTCTGACTGGCAGGCCCCAGACTGTCAGGATTGGCAATAGGACTTCAGCCAGCATTGTTACAAACACTGGCACCCCACAGGGATGTGTCCTCAGTCCCATCCTCTACACCCTGTTCACCCACGACTGTGTCGCCTCCCACAAAGACAACATCATCCTGAAGTTTGCGGACGACACTGCAGTGATTGGTCGCATCACTGGTGGGGACGAAGCATCCTACAGGAGGGAGGTGGCCGGTCTGGTGTCATGGTGCAAGGACAATAATCTCAGCCTCAACACGGACAAGACGAAGGAGATGATGGTGAACATGAGAAAGGAGAGGAGATCTCATCGGCCGCTGTTCATCCAGGGGCTCAAAGTGGAGAGGGTGAGCAGCTTCAAATACCTGGGTGTCCACATCAGTGAGTACCTCACTTGGACACTTAACATCACACAGCTGGTCAAGAAGGCCCAATGGTGGCTGTACTTCCTGAGGAGGCTGAGGCCTGCAGAGAGTGGTAAAGACTGTGGAGAAAATCACCAGGACTCCACTGCCCTCTCTGCAGAGCATTTACCACCGTAGGGTGTGTAGGAAAGCTGCCTCCATCCTCAAGGACCCCACCCACCCCCAGCACGGACTGTTCACCTCCCTACCCTCTGGCCGGAGGTTTAGAAGTGTGAAATGCAGGACTTCTAGACTTCTTTCCCTCTGTCATCAGACTCCTAAACAGCTGAGGAGTTTATTACCAGGAAATACGTCATGTACTGTCGACCTGTACTGTTTATATTCTCAGTTTGCACATGCATAATTGCACATTGGCTGTTGACTGCTGCACATGCTGCTCCCATGCATTTGCTGCTTAAAGTGCCTCAGATGTTGTGTTACTTATTTATCTACTTTATATTTCATTTGTATTTTGTGGCATTCATGTGGACGGCAAAGTAAGAACTTCATTGTACAGGGAAACACGTTTCCTAACTGCATATGACAAACACTTTGACCTAGTGGGAATTTTATGGTACCATCCTTTCCTTTGTAGTACTTGTATGCAGGCATTTGTGTGATTGTGAGACCTGGGGCCTATTTCAAGAAGGCGGTTTTGTCGAAACTCAGAGTTTGTTAACCCCGAAATGAGGGCAACTCGGAGTTTTCGGTTTCAGAAACGGAGGTAACTTAAACCCGTGAAGCGGGGTAAGTTAAACCCGTTTCACAAAGAGAGGTAATCTAAACTCAGAGTCAGTTACTACGGCAACTTACTCTGTGAACCTAACCTGCTGGCGAGCAGGTTTTGTTCGGGAAACTCAGAGTTTCCTCCGGGTCTCCGCCCCTTTTTAAAGTGAAAGGTGTTTAATACCTCATTTAATCTTTCAGTACATTCATAGATTGCACACGTTTCCGTCATGCAGAGACCAAAATGGCGTGTCCATTCATAGAGGATCCTGTAGAGGAGGACGCTGTATTAATTCGCAGGGAACTGCATTTACATCGGGAGAGGATATTGAGGCCACGAGTTGATTTTTTGTCATATCCTCATTTGAGCGGTACCGTTTGTCTAGAGAGTCCATAACATATATCAATAATCTTATCCACCCATACATCAGACACATCACCCATCGTGGCCGTGCTCTTACATCCGAGCAGATGCTTTGTGTTGCGTTACGATTTGTTGCAAACGGCAGTTTTCTTTATAACATCGGGGATGCAGAGCACATTAGTAAGGCCACAGTATGTAGAATAGTTCGGAAAGTGTGCCTCACCCTCAAGCGCTTTCTGTGAATTTTTGTTGTGTTTCCTGGGCACAAACCCCTCAGAGCCATTAAAGAGGAGTTTCACAGGATTGCAGGTTAGTGGTATTGAATTCGTTTCAGTAAGGCTAATCTGAAAAATGATGATCAGTTAATAACATCTTGATGTGACCTCTGGAAATAAACTAATAATTAGAATCCCCTTCAGGATTTCCAAATGTGGTTGGATGCATTGATAGCACACATATTCCCATCAATGCACCTACATGAAAATTAAAATTCAATTCTTATATTATCACATCAGTGTTGGGTCAATTTTAAAAAAGTATTTTGATTAATGTAATAATTACTCTCCATAAAACGTACTGGATTATTTATTAATCATTACTTTACAAATCCCATATCAACCACAATAGGAATTTTAAGAAAGGGTAGACATAAAACTGCACTTTTAATTCGTACAAAAATCGGTATTTTATGCAATTACTGAAGTTACTCATTCAATTATTGAAGAATTAAGAACCATTCCTTACTTTACAAGTGACAAATAATAACATTACTAACATTATTTAGTAATTACTTACACCGAACACTGTATGATTAAAATGTAAACGTACGCATTGACTCGGGCAGCTATTTTCCCCCAAGCTAACTCTTTCTCTTTCGCCGCTGCAGCCGTGCGTGTTGTTTTTTTGTTGTTGTTTTTTTACGAAATATGGGCTCGTACTCACTATATGCTTGTAGTAGCACATCCATTTCTGTCGGGGAAAAACGCAGACCTATTTTGGCTTGGTCCTGTTGCCATGGTGACTCATAATGTCTTCACTCCATTGTTCAGGGCTTTTTATAGTCGCGTGGCACGCGCCTAACTCTGAGTCAGACAACTCAGAGTTGATTAAACCAACTCTTTTCAGCTGTTCTGAAACCGAAAACTCCGAGTTTTCCAACTCTGAGTAAGTCAACTCAGAGTTCAGGTTTGAACTCTGAGTTTGTTAAACCGCCTTCTTGAAATAGGCCCCAGCACTGGCAGCAGCTTCTAAATCTTCTCCTGACCAATCAGAGATTATTAATTATTTCTGCCTGATCAGTGAGTTTTCTTGCATTCTCATTTATTGTAACTTCCCTGCAATGTTATGTATGTATGTGTGTGTGTGTGTGTGTGTGTATAAAAGGAGAAGTCGCACTTTGTTCATTTGAGCTTCTCTCATTCAGACTGTTTAGACACTCAGTTTAGAGATTGCTCCTTCCTGCAGGAATAAATATGTAATAACTTTCAGAGTTGATGTTAAGTCTTAATTTTACACTCACTGAGGTTTAATAAATAATTTTCCCACAACAAATGTAGAAGAGCAAGATAATTAAACATACAGCTCAAAGGGGATGTAGATTATAGCACCAGCAGCTGCTAATAGAATTCATTTGACAATATAGTTTCAAATAGGGTTGTAATGGTATTAGATTTTCACAGTATAACTGTCTCAGAAAATTTCATGGTATTATTGTACAATATTACACAATTACTATTATTATCAGCCACAATAAGTGACTGTGACAGTTGTTTGAACTGGAATGCAGCACTAGATTGACCCCAAAAAATAAACAGAACTATAAACAGTAAAAAAAAAAATTAATAATTAAAAATAGCATACAAGTATGAGATGTTGTATAACTAAAGCATGTTGGTACCAGTAGTAGAGGAAGTATGCATGTCTTTCACTTAAGTAGAAGTACTACTATCACACTGTAAGAGCAGCCTACTCTGTTACAAGTAAAAGTCCTGCATTGAAAAGAAGTAAAATTAAGTATTATTATGAAAATGTGCTTAAAAGTAGGTGTAGGCTACTCAATACAAAAAAAGTTATAATATATTGTATATCTTGTACTGTTATCCTATTTTATTATTAGGCATTACATTAATATCTTATCACTCATGCATTGATGTAAAAGCAGGATTTGACTGTTGTAGCTGTTTTAGGTGGAGCTCTGCTGAACTATTTTGTATCTGAGTGCAACTACTGGATATTTCCATTATGAATTAATCTGCTGATTAGTTTCTCTATTAATCGTTAACAGTAGTGAGAAGTTCATCACAATTCTCTAAATGATTATCAGAATAGTTGCTAATTTACTGTAAGTGTGTCTGTACCTTTACACATTCTGTTTTTTCCTTCAATACCAGTTATAAGCAAATGTGCATTGTATTATAACCATGAATTTTCATACCTTGAAACCAGTATACCGCTGCAACCCTAGTTTCAAATAAAATCAGGAATAGGTTGTATTCTGTAACATACTGATTATGGCTCTCCTTTTCTTCTCATAGACTCCATCAACGTTCAAACCCATGTTTGGAAACACAACTGCAGGTGACAAGAAAGAAAAACCCAACACCAACAAAGGGAAAACACTGACTACCAACAAACCCTCATCATCCAAGATTCCTCTCCAATCTTGTCAAATAAATTCATGTTTACAGAGCAATACTAGCAATTTAAACACAAAGGAAAACCCAAATTCAATTCAGGAATCTGTTCAAACCTGTCAAAGCCTGGTCTCACCAAAGACATTACTGAATGGTACAGCTACAATACTATGGGGCTACAACAGCAGCAGGTCAGTTAACACGAAGGCTGTTACTAGTGCTTCACCACACAATAAGGAAAACAACTGCCTTGTGCTCTGTTCTACTACTGTGGGCTGCCTTTCAAATCTACCTCAACCACACCAGCCCTCAAATACCGGAACAAATGTTGGACCCATGGAGGAAGAGGAAAGTACAGAACTTCTAGTGGAAACCGAGGAGAGGTGTGGTTCCTATGATGACATGCTGTTAGACAGTGATGATGTTATTAATCAAACTGATAGAGAATGGGATGTTGAGCACATAGGTTATGACAGTGGATGTTATGTGTGGGAAGAGCCTGAGAATTCACATTCACTAGGGGCGTTCACATTAGGAGACAGTATGAGTGCTGAAAACTACTCTAACACTGAAGTAATGACCAGTGAGTTAGTCACAACTTGTGTATCTACAAAGACAAAGAGATTGCAGGTTAATATCTCAGATCAGTTAAATAAAATGAGGCAGCCTTCAGTAATCCCAGAACCAGATACATGTTTTGCTGTACCTAAGACTGTTACGCAGGGCTCCATAACACATCAGGCCAAAACAGGACTTAAAACCTTTGTAGGCTTTAACAAGAAGCCCAGTGGGCTTCAAAAATACTCTAAAATGAACACACCCTCTTCATTCAGTCCCAGGTCCTTTGTCCCAGAGAAGACCTCCACCCCTAACACCTCATTGGCCAGGTCCAAAGCAGCCATTACACAACACACAAAATGCAAACAGACTCCAAAATCTTCATTTACAATCTATAGTGGCCCAGCAAAACGGGCTGCAGCACCGTCCTGTCCCTCTCTGTACACTCCCAAAAATGTCCTTGCCTCTTTGTCAACCAACATACACCCCTCATCCAGCAGTCGTTCCTCCATTCCTGTGAAACCTAAAGAAGGAGGGAAGATCACCTCCCCACTGTGTGCATGTGGTCGCCGTGCCAAGCGACAGGTTGTATCCAATGGTGGTCCCAACCACGGGCGAGGGTTTTATTGCTGTCCAGTGCGCCGGTCAGGCAGTGGAGGCAGGATGCAGAAGGGGTGTGAGTTCTTTAAGTGGGAGTCATCACTGAAGAAGACCAGCTCAGTGGCCTCTGTTGCCATCACATCCTCTGTTTCACTCTGTCATATCAACTCAACTCTCAGCTGTCGTCCACATCAGAGGTCACCACTCAGCAAAAGCTATTAATGTGTTGGAGAAACAGCAGTACCTTCTCAGTTATATTGACATTGTGACATTTTTGATATGAAGTATAATCACTTCTCACAGAGATGGATCTTCTCTACTTCTTTACTGTCTTTAAAACTTAAAAAAAAAACGAATAAGCTCTAAGGAAACAGGCGACAGGAGACAAATACTGGAGAATCTTTAGTACACACCTATGAAATCAAATTTTTTATTTAACTGACATTGTTTGAGATAAAGATGATTCCATGTTTTATTATTGATTGTCAGCACAATTTAATCAACCCTAAAGCCAAATTAGTTGCTTTCACATCATTGTAATTGGTAAGTTTGAATTTTTGCTTTGGTTAATTTTGATTAGGGCATTTGTCATGTATAAATCAGTAGTAATTATAATAATCATGCAAAAATTATTTTTACGTATTTGGTATACTAATTTTGAAAAGTAGTTGTAGATCATTTTTTAAAAATGTAATAAAGACAATTGTATGTGTTTATTATGCAATTGTGTTGCTTTTTGGTTTGAGCACCTTGATATAAGGTACATTTGTATCGCGCTACAGTCCATGAATGCGAAAGTCGAAGGCTTTTGTCCCTCTACGCTCGCCGTAAAAGGCCAATATACGCGTAATGTTGGGCGGCAATGACCCTTCGACTCTTGTTTTGGACGTGCTAGTTTAAGTATGAACGCATATTCAGACTAGCAGTCATTCCGTAAACTCTGTAAAGTTGTTACAGTAATAGTGTAACATTTCGGAAAGCTTGTCTTAGCCTCAGTTCTTAAGCTAAAGCCGAGGTGGAGCAACCTAAACAAGGTAGCTCGTTGCTACTAACGTTAAGCTGAAATAACATTACAGGGTTTTAATTTGTGCGAACGCCTCTCTGGGAAAGTCAACATGTCAGCCCTGCAAAACGAGTCAAGGAAACGGAGTAAGAAGCGGTACCACACCGGACACCACACCAAGCGGTGGAAGGGCTCACGGGAGCTGGAGGTGGGAATGCAGGGAATCCTCATCACATGCAACATGAACGAAAGGAAGTGCACCGCGGAGGCCTTCAATCTGCTTAATGAATACGCCGAGGAACTGTATGGGCCCGAGAAGGTAAATCATAAACACGTTAATGGCTCCTATTATAAAACCAGATCCGAGGACATATAATCCTTTGATAGCTAAGGGATATTTTATTGTTAGTCGAACAAGTGAGTTGCAACTCGTTGTAGTCTTGGAAAATAATGACAAAGTTATTTTACATTATCAAATCATTTTAATTGCGTGTTTGACTGACTACCTTCATAAAACAAACAGCTATGGTCTGCATTGCTGAACTGGAATCCACTGCTAATTAGTCAAAAGCAGTTTAAGCAATTGTCCAAGCAGAAATTACAAATATATGATGATTTCAACTTATTAACTATGACAAATTACTGATTGTCAGTTTTATATGATGAGAAATTGGATGTCTTTGGTTTGGAGATGTGATGGGGGAAAAATAAGCAGCTATACTCTTTAAACATAAAGTTATTACAAAGGTAAAGAATTTAGAAAAAAGGAAACATTTATGAAAATAATTGTTGATTGCAGTCCTAATCTGGTACTAATGTAGTGCAACATATATGATCACAGTTGCAGGATAATAATGGGAGCAGCAGTGAAGACGAAGAAGCTGAAGAAGATGTTGATGTGGCGCTGGAAAAGGAAGTGGCACAGCTGAAAGCATCTGGGACTAAACAGGAGAGGCGCTTCCAGGCTTTAAACAGTGGGGCAAACAATGTCATCTTCATCAGAACCAAAAATCTGGGTAAGCATTTAACTAAAAGAAGAGTTAGTTTGGTTTATCTTTGGCTTTCTGTAATAAAATTATACAATGTCTTCTTGTCTTTTCCTAGAATCTGACAAGCTGGTTCATCACATCCTGTCTGATCTCCATGCTACCAAGAAGAAAAAGTCCCGTGTCATCCTTCGGATGCTACCGGTGGGAAGCTAAATCATATGCCAAGCTAATTTGATTTCATTTAACACATGCATTATGAAAACATGTACAATACAAGGTGAGGGACCTTGGGGCAGCTTAGCTTTCAAATGACTTAATAGACTTATTAAGTAAGACAGTGGTTATGAAAGTGACACATTATTTGGCATTTGCAGATATAACACTTCTAATGTCACACACACCAAAATCACAACAGTTAAGCAAACTTTTAGCAATGCATCACTAATTAGTATGTCAGCTGGGTTCATTAAATATGGTGCAGTCTTTCATACCAGTCAAAATTAAGTGCTACTAGGTTTAATGCTGTTGTCTGCAGTATGTGATCCTTGTTTTGATCTAATCCAGGTAACTGGAACATGCAAGGCCCATCAGGATGATATGATGAAGTACCTGACTACTTTCCTGGAGCCTTGGTTCAAAACCCCAAATTGCGCTACCTACCAGATCGCCTTCAAGGCACGCAACAGCAGCCACAACAACAGAGACGAAATCATCAAATCAATTGCAGGTACTGTTGAGGTAACAGAATCCAGCTACCGCTGGTCTGACCATTTTTTTATATGAAATATAAAGTAAATTTCACCTTATTGATGATCAGTAAATTAAACATTTGTGTTTTTGTTTTTTGACTGCTACAGGTCTTGTGGGGAAGCTGAACCCTAAAAACAAAGTGGATTTGACTAATCCAGAACTGACAATCATTGTGGAGGTTATCAAGGCTGTGTGTTGCATCAGTGTGGTAAAAGACTATACTCTGTATAGAAAGTACAATGTTCAGGAAGTAGTAAAAGAGGACACACCAAAGCCTGATGTGACCACAGCAAAAACAAATACAAACACGACCGATCAGAACGAGAAATCGGAAACGAAGCAAGAAGAGGGGAAAGGTGAAGAGGAAAATGATGAAGTGCAGGAGGAAAATAAGGAGATCAGTGAGGGTGAATAGGGGCTCAGATTTAAAGAAACATTGGTAAGTTAGATTACGAATTTCTGAAAGACATTAAGTTGCGTTATATTGTAGTGGCTGTTTTAAAGCTCATAGCAAGTATTACTTTTTTTTTCTTGACTGATAATATTATTTGAACTAATAAGACAGGCAGGATTTGAATATTAATTTAAAAAAATCTGTAATACCAACATCATGGAGCTGTTCATTGTACATAGCAGTGATTTTGAATTGACTGTGCATACACACATTCTGCAGCAAAATTTCCACCAGCTCCATTTTTAAAGTGCTGAACTTAGTTTCTAATTTTAATGTAGTTTTATTTTAAAGAAAACAGTTGGGGTCAGGTCAGCTTATGTGTCACATGAAATAATACACTTTTTTGTAAGAAATGTTATTTCTTAAAGCCATGCCTAAATTAAAGCCACCTGTGTTTTTGCCTGTTTTTGTCATGTATGATTTTGTCATTTAATAATCCAATGTGTCTCAGCATCTGGTACAACAAAGAACACGAAGGGAAAGAAAACCTGAAAACTCGTACATAAACATAATGAAGTATGTCTAATGTTGCTCCACACCTGTGGTGTGTCTGGGCTTTTGCATTAAGCCATCATGGAGCATAATGTATGGTTGGACATAGCTATTTTATCACTCTGATCCTTTAACTGGCAATTCTTCTCTGCACCACAAGATGGAGTTAATCTCTCATTTTGTCAGTGTCTATTTGGGTTATGAGTATTCTGTGGTTATTGCTCATGGACTAATAATTTATTACACAATCTTTAATATGCACATTAACTTAGGGGCTGTTTAAATAATTTCACAATGTCTCATAGCTGTTTGATACTGTGAATTGTATCGACTTCCACTTTATTTTAAAATGATCACACATAATGTAGTTTATTACACAATAAACTCACATGGCAGAATTTTACATGTGTTTGACAGCAGAAAAGTGATTAAGTGAAACAGTCACCACTATAAACTGTGGTGCCCAAACACAGCATTCATTCAGTGAGGGAACGAGACTCAGGCTGCAGCCATGTTAGTGGCCCATGAAGCTGCGCTGCACAGCAGTGCTTTGACTAACACTAACATCATCAGCAGGTAGACATGCTCATATTTACCAGGTATAAAGTTTCACCCAGTTCAGCATGTTAGCATACTAACACTTGCAGTTATTCCACCATGTCGTCCTCATGGTGGCAGTAGAGGCAAAATTAGGAGCTCAGCAGAGTCATTAGGATTGATTCTCTGTAGAACACAAAGGCCTGTATAAAATTCTTGGCAATCCATCTTCTTTTTTTGGTTGTTTGTTTTCCATGTTTGTACAGGTCCTACATGTGTGACTCTTGTATGAGTTTTACAGTATATCTATTCAGTTTACACGTTTAAACCAGAACACATGCTCATGTTTCTGCAGAATTATCTTGGGTCTCTCTCTTCTGCGTCCACTGAGCCTGTCTGCAAAGGTCATGAACAGTTTTGTGGTTTGTCTTTTGAAGATACAGTATAACCAGGAGAACTTGGCCTTGTTTACAGATTTGTGGGTAGACATATGAAAACTCAATGTCATAATTAACTCTTTAAAAATATTTTTCTAAAGCAATAATGGTACAGAATAACCAGCCTATTAGACAGAGCGATATCATTAATCATTGTAAGGAGAAGTATGTACAGCTTTATGTCTCTGTCACATACACACACCTGCATTAACTGAATTGTGAATTTGTTTTCTGCTCATTACACTCAGGCTGAACTGTAGCTGTGACCTGCCAGTCATTATCTCCACCATATTCAGCTAAAACTTACAGATTGCACTGTCACTGGCTCCCAGGTGCCCTAGTCAGCATGACCTGTTGACAGGCTTATGGCTCCAACACAAGAGGAAAGGATTAGATGTTTTCAGCATGTGTAATTAGTGCATTACCAATTAGGCTATGTGACACTTCAGCATAATGGCTAACGTATAGGGATGGTTCATAATGATATCTCTGCTGCCATGTGAAATTCCTGTGTTTAGACATAATGACAATTTTGTATAGGTGCAAAAAAAATTTAATTGCTGTGTCTAAAAGAAGTGATGGTTATTGAAATGTACTATTCAGGTCATTACAGTTATTTCATTGAAGTTTTACATGTTTAGCCAGGAACAGCATAATTAAAATCAAAAGAATATTTACAGTAGTAAGCTTGGTGTTGTCTACATGAGAAAATGGTCTCTGATGTTTTAATTGCCCCCAAGGCTATGTCTAATTAAACTTCCGTGGGCACCAGAGCCCACCGCTTTCCAGCCAAATTGGCAAACAGGCACATATACACACTGTTCTTCCACCCAGGCTTGTACACTCAATCATGTTTAAATGTCACAGGACGGTGAAACAATTGCATCCACAGGCGCGTGTGCACACGGTCCCTGGGGTCAGGATTAGCATCCATTGGTGTGGCTCCATATCTGACCTTTATAAATGGCTAAGTGGTGCTCTCCAGGGTCTCATTTGTCTCACTTTACCCGAACAATGGCCACAGTGCTCTCACAAATGTACCCTTCTCTCTCAGTGCAGAGTGAACATGTGGAGGCTCAAATCACTTTTGCATGCATATGGTTAAAATACCCATTAAAGTCTAAAAATGTTAGCTTTATAACTTTAATATTACATTATATCCTCTCATATTTATAACCAAATAAGCAACAATCAAAGTTTGAAAAAAGCAACACACCTAATTATTATTTATTAGGTGTTCCTTACTCAGAAAATGAGCTGACCACTAATACAACTGTGTGAGTGTGGTATTATTAAATTTCATTGGCCTGAAAACATAAGCAAACAACCACACAGCTGCCATCACATTTTGATTTACAAATGGTGACTACAAAACCATGTACACAGAAATCCATCATGTGAAATCACCAAAACTGTCCCAAACGTTGGCAGAAATGTTGTTCATGGAGGAACGCATCACTCTTACATTGCCTTAAAAGTCCAGCTCATAGAAATAGTGATTTTAGTTTACTGCCTCAAGAAGTGTCAAGTGGTAAGGAAAGGATAGCTCAAAGAGAGAGCAGATGGAAGCATGAAATATATACTGCTAAAAAAAAATAAAGGGAACACAGCAATAAGACATGAAATATTTTTATTAAAGACCTTGTTCATTACATAGTTCAATGTCTTATTTTCCCTTGTGTTCCCTTTATTTTTTTGAGCAGTGTAGAAGTGATGAGCAGAATAAAGTGATGCATGGTATTATGACATGATACTGTACAGTAACTACAATACAAGTAGTAAGGGTAAGATAGCACAGGGATACACAGTAATCGTATAGAAAAACAGATGCATGGACAGAGACGAAACCGTAATCCCACATTACAACGACACCTACGTCATCCACCCCAAAACAAAATGAACCCAACCCAGTGCAATGAATCCATCATCTATACCGCTTATCTTGAACAGGGTTGTGGGGGGCTGGAGCCAATCCCAGCTGACATTGGGTGAGAGGCAGGGTCCGTCCTGGACAGGTCGCTAGTCTATCACAGGGCATGTCTCTGGTCTGTGGGAGGAAGCCAGAGTACCCAGAGAGAAGCCACACAGGCACAGGGAAAACATGCAAACACCACACAGAAAGTCATTGGGTCGGCCTGAGCTCGAACACTGAGAATTCATACTGTGAGGAGACAGTGCTAACCACTGTTCCACCATGCCGCCCCAATGCAATAATAAAAAAACCAAGACATGACAGTTGAGTAGCATCAAATTAAATACTGTGTGATACATTGAAAATAAACAAACAATATAGAAAAGTCAGGAGAACCACATATTTCTTCTTTTCTATCCCTTTAGTCATTTTAAAACCCTACAGATTTATCTTGTGACCCTGGAGGTATCTTAACCTCTGCTGGTGGAATCAGTGTACTAGGAAAAATCTGATGAATATTTGCACAAGCATAAAATAGATTTTGGTTTATTAACATTTTCATACTTAAGCCTAACAAGAATGACCCAGATCACTTTAATGCTAGCCTCATAATAGGCCTTTTTAAGGAAGACGTTTGACTCAGGTGTAAATATTAAAATTAACACTGGCTACATTCCATTTAGCTGCTTCAGTTTCAGGGTCCTGGTATTGCTCATGCTGGCTCACTGTCACACAGTAATGGCGTACTGGTACACATGAATAAAATGGAGCCATTGTTACTATTTTACTTTCACAAGTCTAAATGTTTGCCGTGAAAAAAGCCCTATAGGGACAGAAAACGTGAGAGTGGGTGCTCCTTTGTTCCCAGTATTCCAGTAACATTCATCATATGTGTGATTGTCTTGAAGCTGATATTTGTGTGTCTGCAGCACCTTATCTGTGATTTACATTAGACATCAGACATACACCTAACACAGGACAGCTGCATTAGATTATGGCAACTCACAAAGTTGTCACAAATAGACCGACATGGACTGAAATGTGACACTGAATGTGGTATTTGCTTGGTAACAAATTATGGCTTCTAAAATGACCACTGAGTTCAATCCACATCTGACAGCTACGACAAAAAGTGACTAGAAGCTCTGCTAAACCAGTATTTTACTGCAGAGGTATTGTACTGTATTGTAAGGTGTTTCTGTTATTTTGTCCACCCCCTTAGGTAGATGTCAGTTTGCAGCTTTCCCCTTTGCCACTCACATGCATAGTCAATAGATGCACACACACCAAGGATTTCTTTATTTATTTATATCTATTGTTACAGTGATGAGAATGTTTTGGAGGACATCTGTTTCTCTGAGGGACTGTGTGTGTTATATGTGTGGCAGCCAGCTATGTGAATGTGGGTCAGTAATGAGAAATGCTTATCAACCTTCTACAGCCTGTCAGCTTGCCGCTATTCGCCGTTACCCCGACAATCCTACAGGTAGGCCAAGAGTGCTCACATTTATTCCAAACATTCCTTTCCTATTTGTCCCTGCAGAAAGGCAACAATCAGCAGGCGGATTTAGTTGATTAGGATTATGGGAAGTAATTTGTGGTGGAAATAAGAGTGCATTTTAAGGGGTCTATTAATGTGGTGAAATTAGTTTTCTTAATATCTGGGCTGAAGTTGGTGTTTGAATGGCAATGTCTGTTTATGTGAGTGGAACATGGACTAGAGAGAGAAGCCTTGGTTTTAGGAAAGTTGCAGTAAGAGACAGTTTGTTGAGTTGAAGGGAGGAAACTACAAGTGGGAAAGAGGACAAAGAATGAGTGAACTACAGATTTATGAGAAGTTATTCCTTTCCACACACTCACATTTTCTCTCTTACTCTTATCAGTGGTATAATCCTTGCTGAGGGTACTTTCCATATCACTGGATGGCTTTTGCTATCAAGAGGCGCATTTTATTATAATACTAACAAGAACCTTGACTATTACCTAGACCGGAGAGGGGACGTTGGTGCAGAGAGGCAGGAGGAATGTGTGCAGAGTAAAGATGTGAATAGAAACCTGGAAAAAAAATAGACCAGGAGGCTAAGGAGAGGAGGTGGAACTGGGACATCAGCTGTGTGAGCTTTATTTTTCTTTCTGCTTGCAATGATAGGTGCTTACGATGAAGTGGATCAAGGCCTTGATCCTAACCAAAAACAGATGTATGAATACACAGAAAGAGCTCAGCATATAACTAAATGGGACCAAGACTTTTAATATGTAATGAGTTAATATAATTGTTTCTCTAGGCAACATTATCTTTAGAAGCCAATATTCTCAGGTGAGTTGGGTGTAGCTTGTTTGGTAGCTTATGTTAGTTTACTGGTTATTATCAAAACACAGTATGACATGATATCAATAGGTTTCAAAATGAATCTTATATGTTGTCTAACCACTGTACAATACATTTAGAGAGGTAGCACTAATAAAAAGTTAAAGAGAGGACACTTTTGACTAGTTACACATTTGAAGATGTTTGTCTAGAAGTAAATGTATTTTTGGTCAAAACAGAGTTAAGACCAGATTTTTGACATTTTTAAACTCCTTTTTCTCAACTTCATTGTTTCTGTACTGCTCTCTAGCTTTGTAGGCCAGACACAGGAATACTGTGTGTTTATTGTTATTTAAATGAACTGTATGCCCAAGATATGCTGATAGAGGTCAGGTAGTTGATTATCTATATTTTGATGGCTGGTCTGTGAATGCTGGACAAAAGCTGCCCATTCTCTTAATTCTGTGTGTTTTCTAGGGGAGGATCTCTTGGACTGGATAACAGCTGTCACAAAGGATTGAGAGTGTGACAGTGAAACACGTATATGTGATTTTCAGGCAGATGACAGACAGACAGAAGGGCTCCTCAAGAGGATATACAACTTTAACAGGATTGGAAATGGTGCGGACCAGCTGGAAGAGGTAAGAGAGAGTCAAACTGGGAGGAAGGAGGGGAGGAGTGTTGGTAGATCAGTTTGAGATGGAATTAACTGTCAAAGTTGATGAAGAACTTATATGTGTTTGCTGCAACAGCATGGAGATGAATAAGAAAGATAAAACAAATGGAGTTTAAAAGGAGCAAGTGTCGGGATGAATGAAGATGTTAAGCACATCATCAAACGCTGCAGGCACAGCAGGGGGCCATGGGATACACCCTTCTGAGAGATGGGTGGCGTGGGTGTGTGCATGTGTGTGTATAGTTTGGTATTGGCCTAATAAACCATCCATCTGTAGGGAGACGAGAACAGTGGATGTGGGTAACGGGGGGGCTACAGCACTCTTTATGCTCCATATTTACACCCCTTTCAAACGCCCAGACTGACAGATACACAGTCCAGCCCAGAGGTTCTTTGATGTTTGTCGATACCGCTGCGTGATGATGTCATACGGCAGAGAGCAAGGGAGGGAGGTATGATCAAAGAAGAGAGGGAGGGATGAAGACGCAGGAGAGGATATCCAAGACAACAACGGGACAAAGATGGCGACTGCTTCTGCAATGGGACGTCTACTGTAGCGTCCAGACCTCCGCATCACCAGGACGAACCCAGGCCGTGCAGCAAGCGTATTCACTACCCTTATTCTAACAAGATGACCGCCAGCATGACACACTGGAACCACCAAGCCAACCTCAGCCACCTCTGTCGCCAGGCTAGCACAGTAAGCTCTCTGTCTACCTTAGCATTTCATCCGCTACCATTAAACCATCATACCCTCAACACCCCGATGTCTGGTTACCATCACTCCATCCCAAGTATTTATCATGAGTTGCCGTTCTTTCTAATAATGCATTTTTTTTTTACCCATTTTTTTCTTTTTCTCAGCCCTTTCATCATGGTCTTTTGGCTCTTAATATAGGCCTCTCTTTGCCATCAAAGGCAGCACATCAATTGCCTTGACTCCCAAGTGTATGTGTGAAGCTGAAAGAGAGAAAGGGAGAGAGGAGAAAAAAGAAGAGTACCATGTAGCAAAGATCAAGGCAAGCTTTCATGCCTCATTTTGGTCTTGGTTGGGTTTTGCTTTCCATCATCTTTCCATCCTCCTTTTTCTTCATCTTAGGGCTGCAGACACACTCCGAACCCATCAACGTTTTCTCCCAACTCTCAATGGTCCAGATTCCACGTTCGCTGAAAATGAAATCATGCTTTTGTGGAGAAATGGAAGCAAAGACATTTTTTTCTGGTTTTGTTTGAGAATATTCTGTAGCTTACAGGCTACTGGGCCAGAGCTCTGCACCAATGATGACAATACGTGAAACAATATTTGAATAAGCAGCAGGAGGGCAGCCTGCTAATCCACTGTGGCTAATCCAGTATTGGTGCAGGCCATATTGGTAGCTGTAGTATTCAACCTCATCACAATACACATCAGCAGGACGCCATGGCAGATATACTGACACTCTTACTACAGGCATGGCTGGGAAAGGCCAGCAGATGGATGGATAAATGGTTGGGTGGATGGATGATAGAGAGATAGATGGATGGATAATTGCATGGATGGATGAAAAACCTTGATATTAGTACTTTGGCTCCTTTATTTGAGGTAATTTTTTTTCATGTTGTGTAACTTAGTCATAGTACTTTGAGAAAAATTAAAAAGGGAGAAAAATGTATGATTGAGGAAAAATAGAGGTGATAGACTTCAGCTTCAGTCCTCAATCTCCTTCAGAGCTGTGTGACAAAGCGTATGTCTAAATTTATAGTAAACGGCAACACAAACTGATCTAAACTGTCGATATCACTAAATCCACTATATATATATATATATATCGAATGTCCCACTGTACAAGGTTCTCCTCATCCTTTGTTTTTGAGCTTTCATCACAGCCAAACAAACTACTTGTCTCAACTTAATTTTCTTTAAAAGCAGAGGTCTGATGCTCAATGAGAGGTTTATAATGAAGATTTCACTCTCTGTGAGTATCTAAATGGGTCTTTGTGCTGGGAGGCCCCGAAGAGATAAGCCTGTTTTTGACAGGCCTCCGTACAGACGCCCAAATCTGCTGTGGCAGCTGGAACAAAGAGACTCCTGAGCTGGACCGACATACTGAAAAAAGCTCAGTCCCCATAGTCTAAAAGGGCTGCCTCAATTTAAGAAATAATAATCCACATTTTTCTTCATGGGAAATAGCTTTTTCATCACATTCTTGACAATGGTTAAAGAATAATTCATCGGGCTCAATGTCGTTTTACTGTGCAGAAAGTTCAATCAAGCTGGCTAAGGTCATCAGTTGGAAGCATCCTCAAAGATCATTCACTGACATTGTAATTAACCTGCATCAGTTGCACTGGCTGTAGCTATTTCTGCATAACCTGTCATTTTCTGCTACACATACTCATAAGTTGAAGTATGCGATCTTCCAAATTGTGCCACATGTTATATTGAAATATTACTATTTCATGTGATGGAGTTTGTTTTCTATATTTTACATGTATATGTAAGAAAATAGTTTACCCTATTTAATTATATACTCTTGTAATCAACATACTTCATCAGATTGATGCAAAAAAACATGTCAAAATCCAAAATTAGCATAAAGCATCCTTGACTTGCATCATTACCCAGAATTTTCACAGAAGACATGTCACACAGGTATAAATAACCAAATTAATGACTGAATCCTATTTAACTGCTGTAGTTTCAGCATCTGGGGATTGTCATGCTAGCTCATTGTTAAACTGTTAGGACTTCCACCATTAATGTTATTAGTAACACTTCTGATTCCCCTGCTATGACAAGTCAAAATGTCTACGGTGAGACATATGGACTAATAAAACCAGAAACATTGAAGGGATAGACACCTCAGTATAAAATGTGTTGGACAATCTCTGATGGTTGACTAATTTATGGTTTAATGTCTCATGGTGAATATAAAATCTCATATTGCTCAGTCCTAAAATAAAAAAAATAATATCAAGGGCCTTTAAACAGACAGTAATGCTAAACACAGTAAAACTTTATGTATAATTAATTTCAATCCAATTGACACGAGTAGTGTGGGTCTTGGGATGACAATGTTGGCGAGCTGGTCAACCACTTTGATCCAGACTAAAAACGCTCAACAACTATTGAACAGATTACAATGAACTCTGGTGCAGACAATGGTTTAAAAATGTAATTTGTCCAGTGACTAATTACCTTTCAGCCAGCTTCAGCTGTACTTTGTCTTTACTGCTAATTAACAAACGTTAGTAGGCAAACTGGCTAAACCAAGTGGTGACCATGGTAAATATTAGCATGTTAGCATTGTTACTATGAGCATGTTGATGTTAGCATTTAGCTCAAAGCATCGCTGTGCCTAAGGACCACCATTACAGAGCTGCTGGCTTAGCTGTAGACTCTAGTTTGAATAGGACTGTTGCACACCCAAGATTATAAGCTTTAACTCAAAATGAAGGAAATTGCGCTTTCAACTTTAAAATATACAGTATATACAAATTCAGACAATTTACCTAACATCATACATGTCATGCATGTTACAGTGCATGTTATGTTGCAGTGCGTCGGATTCAGCATATACAATTGTGTATGATGACTTTGGTGCATTTAATAAAGATGTTATGAATATTAGTTTTATTTTTATGTGGGTTTATCAGTAAATGGACCATTTACTGATAAATTTGAAAAAGATAGTTTTTTATATTGTCATACTGATTTTAACATCAACAGTCAATACTATCTCTAGCTGCAAGATCAGCCTATGGATAGATAGATAGATAGATAGATAGATAGATAGATAGATAGATAGATAGAGCATGAGGGCCAGGTGTATTTGTGCCTGCACCCCTGTGTGATGACCTTTCTTCAGCTAAGACCTCAGAACTCTATGGTACTCACACACTCACACACAGACAGACACACACGTATATGGAGATTCATTACAGATTCATAAGAACCAACATGCCCCCAACCCCTCCTCACTAAGACATCATAAAGGTCAAGTCCATCTTCCTCAGTATTCTCTCCGTGTCTCCCTTCCCTCTCTCCTCATTGTCTCTGGGGGCTCTGCGGCAATCATAACAACACCAGCCTGTTGCAGCAGCAACCTGTATATGCGTGTGTGCTGACTGTTGAGGACATAAGCCAAAATGATATGAATACATTTCCATAATGAAGTGTGTTTAGCTCGGCTGTAAAATCTGCCAATCAAACACTGTGCCAAACTGTTTAGCATCACTTTCTTGAGCCACCACTGTAAATACCCCTGCTGCCTGTCTTCATTACTGCAGTTACATATCTCTTTATTACTGAACAGTTTCAGCCTGGTTGCCTGTTTAAAAACATTTAAATGGTTTTAAGGGTGTAGGCCAAACTTAGCTGATTGTTTTTGACTATGTTTTGTGCGATTTAGTCATAAATAAAGGTGCATAGTACTAGCAAAATATCAACACATAATATTTCATGAAAATGACTACATAGTATCATAGTATTATGCATAGTATTACTTAGTATTATGCAATAGTGTTTTGGGATGACCACTGCTGAATCAAATAATTTACACACAAGAAAATGTAGATGAGGAAAATAAGTGATATATCATTATTTCCTAGGTTCAAATTGTCATGGAGAAGAAGTCCATCCAAGAGTGGACAGAGAAGAGGACAGGTGTCTGGACCTCACCTGAGCCACCTGACCCCACTCGCTCCACATGGGCCAGCTAGCCCCAGTACCTCACAGGAAGCATGGTAAAGAACTATACATCATCTATTTTAGAAGTCTTGAAAGGGCAAATATACTGTACCCCAAATTATTATTATGTGTCTAAATTCTCCTATTTTGATTGCGAATTCAGTAAATGAACTGCTCAGCCACCGACTTTAACATGGTGATTACTACAAAATGTTCACATTTTCTAATTTACATGGAAATCAAAACCATTTAGACATAGTATTCATAGTCAACAGATCCAGTCACTAATGAACTGTCAGTGTACAAACCCTCTAATGACATCGTTCATTCATGTCTGGCACTCTGATTTCCACATTCTTGAGAAGGTTGTTTACATTTACATGTTGACTGGGTGATCTAAAGAGTTCTACACTCCCTGTAGGCCTGCTGTTATTGGATTAGTTTTATAAGAATGTATCATGTTTACAATTTACATGTCTGTTTCATGTGGACGATAACATTTTCACATGGTAACATCACATATGAGCTTGGGAATTTCAGATATTTATCATGTAAAATACATTGGATGTGAAAACAACAGCTTCACATGTCATACATATGGAATAGCATGTGGTAAAGTCTCATTTAGGCATATATGGTTTCAGATACTTAACAATATGAACTTCACCTGTGTTTTTCTTTATGTATTGCTAATGCTGGAAGGAAATAAATAATCAAATCTTTCTCCCTCCCTCCTTGCTCTCTCTCTCTCTCTCTCTCTCCTCTCTCTGTCTCAACTACACACACACTCACACACAAACGGGTGGCAGCTCGGTGCTCCTGACTGACTGACAGCCCAGTGGAGGGGAGTGATGAGCAGAATGCTCAGGTGGCTGCAGCAGCGTGCTCTCTCTGTCCTGTCAGTCACTCTGCCAGTGGAAACGGACTCTGTTAACTGAACACCTGTTTGTAGGTAAACAATTTGAGGTGAGTAGACTCATTGTTTTTGCTGTAGTAATTCTCATAAGAACATGTGCATTGCCTCAGATTTGTCTGACATGCAGACCGGCTGATTGTCTGAAGCCAAGAAAGCTGCACCTGGTCATGTTGTCTGTGGTGCTGTTCCTGTAGCTGGCTCTCATCTTTTTTTAGTTTGTCCTGACTCTTTATTTATCTTTATGGCAGTGTGTGATACTAACAGCTGATCATAAATCACATAATAACTTCTAATTAGAGTCTATTAAAAGGCTTGTATTACATTCATTTTGTTTTGCCAAAATGTGTAATAACCTGTTCTTGGTGGCAGAGGCACTGTTAGGTGTATTTTTGCTACCCTGACATAGAATTGTGAGAGATAGACCTGAGGAGTTATAATATTTGATATCAGCATATAATGCCAGTGGTGGGGGGCAACTAAGGTTCAAGGATTTTATTGTCAATTCACTATATGTGCAGCACATACAGAAAATTGAAATACTGTTTTTCTCTCACCTAATACTGGGTGCCATAACATTTAGGAACTAAAATAGAATAAAGTACAATAAAAATAGAATAGAATAGATTAAGAACTGGATTGACGTAATTAGGAGAAATCTAAACGATACAGCCAATAAGCTGTCACTCAAAACCGGGTACAGTCAGTGACAGTAGTGCAAACAATATTAGGAGATTGTTAGATTGTTCAGCATCACCAGGGCATTGGTGATGACATGTCAGATCGTTCAGCATCACCAGGGCATTGGTGATGACATGCAAATAGTATATGAGGTATACATGGACAGTATTGCAAATGACCAACAGGGTCATTGAATTAACCCTAACCCACTTCAAATTCTGATACTTTGATAAGTACATTTTGCTTAAGTAAAATCTATACTGCATTGTTACACTGTGCTACTGCTGCATACCACAGTAAATGACCTATATACTTTTTACACTACTGTGCACTACCTACTGCAGCTATGATTACTATAAGAATTTAAATAAATACCAGTCAGAACAAGTGCTTGTTTTAAATATGAGCACCAGAAAATGGATAAATGTGGTTAGATGCGAAAATCACCAGTGTTCAAGATAACTCCTTGATGATTGCAAACCTTTGATTTACTGTTTCAACATTGAAATTCTGGATGTAAGCTTAATAAGACTCAAATAATGTTATTATGGCTAGAACCAAGTTATTTTCATTATTGATTAATCTGCCAGTTATTTATTTATTTATTACCTTATAGTTAAGTCTATAAAACATTACAAAATAGTGAAAAAATATTTCTGAGCTGAAGATGATGTCTTCAAATGCATTGCTTTCTTCAAATAAAAAATTGAGAAACACTCAAAACAACTAAATATTCAGGTTAAGAAGACATACACATGACAAAGAAAAGCTAATCTTATTAGTTAGTTCTGCAAACATTTTGTATTTTTTTTTACTATTTTTGCTTAATTAAAATGACAGAGATTATTCACCGATTACCACAACAGTTGCATTTTATTTTTCTATAAACAAAACATGTAATGAATAATTATTTAAGCTCTATAATATACTGTATAGTAATGCAACAATGACAAATGAAAGTATGCCCGCACAGTGAGCACTTTTAAAGTTAATTTCCGATACAGAACCTTAACTATTAATTGAGTGTTTGAACAAGGTGGTATTGTTAATTTAACTTATCACTCATTAGCTGAGCTCTAACGTTTGGTTTGTCGTTTCTATCTTGTACAGTTCTATGAACGTGCTACACGCCGCACGCCGACGCCGTGCACGCACGTATTCTCTTACTCTGTATTATTGCTCAGAATCCAGCCACTATGGGGAGTTAAGGGCAAGACGACGGTTTATTTTTTGCTAATATTTAATGTCAGAAAGCTATCCATATGGTGCAGTTTGGAGCACACAGTTCGGGCCAGTATCCCCAATGCTGCGGATTACGGGGAACGGGCTTTCAGAGACGGTAGGGCAGACACCTTTGTGGAAAACACGGGACGTTAACGCACTTAGCCAGCTAGCAAGCTAACCCGAACTAGCTAGCTAAAACACCAAGCTAGCTAATGCTGCAGCCAGCAGAGTTGAAAACGTGCCCTCGCTGTCTTGTTTTGTTTGATCTTAGTTCAG